TAACGAGTTTATTACAATATACAACTTAATGCAAGCTAAATAAAATATACATTATCCCACCTAAAAATGTCTTTTCTATCCTTCAGATCTGCAAATCTTTTCATGGCACTTTAAAACCTATCACCTTTACAAGATCATTTGCTATTGACAAAATATTCAAAGAATTTAATCTGTCTCCAGTCATGGACAACCGTAAGTATGTTAAAGCTTAGAAAAACATACTTACGGTTGTCCATGACTTTGGAAGATCCCAAACACATGACATGGCGGCATGAAGGCGCCCTCGGCCTCGATGGCACTCCGCACGACTTCCCGAGTTACCAGTACCGCAAGCCGGCCCTGTATACACACAAACACACAGTCTTATATATATATATATATATATATATATATATATATATATATATGTCGAAAATTATGTATGTAGCAAACCGAAACTTGCTTACCACACTAACAACACATTGTTCTTGATAGTGATTGAGACGGTCGAAACTACTTAAACAAAACAGTGGACCATCTGACACACACACTAGTGGACCACTACATATACTGTTATTACCATTGTGAGTTTAATCGTCAGTATAGTAATATTTTTATTTTTTCAAAAATGTATTACTGGTAATATATATACTTTTTAAGATATATTGCTGGTATTATTTTTTTTTAAATGTATTGCTTGTAAGTTTTTTTTAAAAAATGTATTGCCGGTAATTTAAAAAAAATGTATTGCTGGTACTATTTTCTTTTTTTAAATGTATTGCTGGTAAGTTTTTTTTTCAAAAATGTATGGCTGGTAATATGTTTTTTTTTTCCAAAATGTATTGCTGGTAATATTTAAAAAAATGTATTGCTGGTAATATTTTTTTTAAAGGTGTATTGCTGATAATTTTACTATAAAAATCTATTTTTATACTTTCATAGTGTTTTGATACCAGTTTGGGAGGTTAACTATTTGTCCATAGCTGGGACCCAGCAGGTGCTACGACTCCGGATCAGGTGAACCTGGGAACAATAGCAATTAAGAGGAGGTTCTACGCACCTCAAAACCTCCCAATCAGAGGCCTTGCTGCTGGATGTAGTTTATCGTCATACTCAGGAAATAATTTAATTGTATTTGATACAGGAGAGTAGTTATCTTAATAGATAAAGATGGCGTAGAGAAAAATAGAGATAGGGAGAGAGAAACAGAGAGAGGGAGAACAAAAGAGAGGACTACTGAGAAAGAGAGAAAGATAATGAGAAAGATAAATAGAGAAAGAGAATGAGAAAAGGAGAACTATAGAGAGATGGAGAGGTTAGGAAAAGAGAGAGAGAGATGGAGGGGAGGGAAAAAGGAGAAAAAGATTAAAAAATGGTGAGAAAGGAGGGAAGTTCATTGTGATATATGTGACCTTGAAATAAAGGTAAGCGAATACCGACTCAAAAGATCATCGATCGAAAATACTATGTCAATGCCAGAAAATCGTTTTCCTATAATCCTCTCGATGCGGATAAATTAAGTTTACCTATCCAATCTAATTCTACTTTGGAGACATGAAATCTAATTTTTATGTAAGTATTGAACTATTTTTTTTCTTAATCTAATACTACTTTTAGCAAGCTTAATGAAATATAGTTGCCTCGTCACCTGAAATAGAAATTAATGCGAACGAACTAAGAACACACAGACACAGTTGAGATAGTAGGGCTTGCTACGTGGTGGATATAGCTACGTATTTTTTTAAAACAGTGTTTAGTTTTCGAGCCTAGTTAAAACAAGTCTGATTTTTCCAGTAATATTTTTAGGGCGAAAATAAATTTCTATAAAATTTTTTACATGAATTTGTATAGAATTTGTATATAATTTCCATAATTTTTATATAATTTCTATAATTCTTATATAAAAATTTCTGTATAAATTTCTTTATAATTTCTGTATAATTTCCATAATTTTTATATAATTTTTATAATTCTTATATAAAATTTCTGTATAAATTTCTTTATAATTTCTGTATAATTTCTATAATTTTTATAATTCTTATATAAAAATTTCTGTATAAATTTCTTTATAATTTCTGTATAATTTCTTTTATGATTATCTCAAATCCTCCTAATAATTTCTATCAGTCGTATATCCTTGCTAGACCCGGCTTTAATGCTCCAGTTGGAGGGGCTTGATGATAGTAGTCGTGGCTCGTGGGGTAACAGTATTACGAGTAAGGTAAACTCAGATGGGTTCCACCATGGAATATGTGATCGGGCGGCGCTGTATCGAGTCAAATTCGTTACACCTTCATCGCTGAGGCTCGTTGGTACAGTTGATACGACGTTTGTTTTATAGCGTAATGATCCGGGTTTCAATTCTCGGTAGTGGATTCGCACAGCTGATGAGTCCCAAATATAGGACAAAACGGCCGTCCAGTGATTTCTACATTCTGTTGAGGTTTCTTCTCTAGACTCGATGAACTACTTATATGATTATCTCAAATCATTCTAATTTCTATTATAGAAATGATATAGTTTTTACTATCTATCTATTTATCTCTCTCTCTCTCTCTATATATATATATATATATATATATATATATATATATATTCCCCACAAAAAATAATTAAAAATTACCTTATTTGGGTATAAATCCTTTTCAGCCAACGCTAAATACGTAGGTCTTATTCAACTCCGGTGGATGGACTGTATTCATATCGGATTTAGAATTTAACTTAGCAGTCGAAAAATTGATACCGCACCTACCCAAATCGACGCCTCAGCCAGACCAAATGCCCGAGTCAGAGGTAAGGGGAGGACGGAAGGTATCTGTCTGAAAGGGAATAGGCTTAACAGATTCAACCCGGATATTAACTTTATGACCCTATATACCAACGGTTCTATTACCTGTACTATATATATATGATAGGATAAAGAACAAGTAGGAAACAGATCTTAATCTAACATGTTATACTTTATTAAAGCTTCGTCAGAGATTAAGATAGAAATGATAAAAATAATTAAAAGGAAAGAGACGCAGATTAATGGTATGTTGCGTTTGATTATTTCATATTGGTTAGATGTGTGTCACGTGTAATGAAGTAACAAATATTATTCAAATATGTATGACAATATATATATATATATATATATATATATATATATATATATATATATATATATAAACGAGTTCTGTTAATTTGAAACGTACGGCCTGTTCTTTTATTGTATTTTCAAATAAATCGTATATTCTAATAAAAATTGCCGATATATATGGCATCCATATGTCTCAAGAGCCTATGGATCTGCGCCCGACGTATTATGCTCTGTCTAGGGCGCGGGCCTTGGCGGGGTTATTTTTTAAGAGAGATCGGCAGTTACCCATGCAGCACTTTTCCCCTCCACACTCCAAGAGAAAGGCTGAGGCCAATAAAATTTGGCACCGGCGTCGTCGCAGCAGTTGCCAGAACGAAATTAAACATGACATCGGAATGTCTTAGTGACTCCGGCTCCGAATTTGAATTCAGAGTTGTCAAGTCTGGTTCATAGTCTGGTTGCCAACCATGGCTACAAAGTTCAGAATGACCAACTATTTGTCCATAGTTGGAGCTTTTGAATTCAGTTTTGAAGTTTTCCTTCTCCTAAGCCGGTTGTCGATAAATCATCGAATATTCATTTGCTTCAGTGTTTTCGACCATCTCAGTCAATATCTAGAGTCAGATGTTATCAGTGTGTTAATTCAAGATTTTACATTTTTGGCTTTTTGGAACGCTGAAATTCAAATTTAGTTCAGTTTTACGCATATCGTAAAAATGACGTCATGTGTAAAAGGGTTTTTCACAAATCGACTTCAACGAAAAATGAAAAATATTATACTATTATTATTTTTATTGTCATTATTTTATAGGTCTATTAAATATTTTATATACAGCCTAATTTAGTCTTCTGTGTTGAAAGATATTTTTTATGAATGTTATTTTTACAGATGTAACAAACTTTCTTTTCACCTAATTACTGCGGATGACATTGAGATGAAGACACTCTCAAGACATGTACCTCATGGGTGTAGCATTTTTTATGTCAATGTCATCTACAGTAAATTTGATCCCTGGCTCTTATAACATTTCACCATTCTTGGTAGATCTTCCATTATCACAATGTGAGATACATTCACTTACTTGCTAATACCCTTGGGAAAGGTATGAATCCTCTTCTCCCCCTCCCCAGATATGGGTAAATAGCAGGACAGACCGAGTTCTATAGCCTTGAATGGCAACTGGTCTACCGCAGAAAGAAATGACAACCTACTTCGGGAAAAATCTGCCTCGTCAGTCATGTAGCGAAAGATACATGATCGCCTCAGCGTGTATCACGCATGGCACATAATTGACTGACCAACAAATGTGATGGAAAGAAAATAAAAAGAATCTAAATAAATTCGAATATATATATATATATATATATATATATATATATATATTTCTAAAATTCCAGTATCGCTCGTTCGTGCGTATGTGTAGTAGTACCAACATAACAAAATTAATCCGATGAAGTCCTGAAGGACGAAAATGCGTCACAAGTAAACTTTTCCCTCTTTGTCATACAATTAATTTCCCCTTATATATATATATATATATATGTACGTATGTATGTATGATATACATCAAGGAAAATTTAACGCATCATCGAAAACGATTATAAATTTAATTTATTTCGACAAGTTTTTAATACTTCTCTCATCAAACTGAAATTACAAATGTTATAATTTTACAAAATGGTTTAAATTTATCCAGACAATATTTAAAAAAACAGATAACAGGAAGTCTAGACGCTGTATGTGTATGTATGTATACATGCATGTAGAGAGAGAGAGAGAGAGAGAGAGAGAGATTTTCCCATATACGAGTCGTGCTATTTAACCCATAATTAAATGGAGAAGAGACGGATACCGTTCCCAAGGCTGTTTGCACGTAAGTGAATGTAACGAACTTAACTGGAATTCGAACCCGACTCCCTGAGTTCTCATTCCGAACCTCTATCCATTATACAACTCAGGCATATGAGAAAACGAGAGATAAAGAGAGAGAGGAGAGAGAGGGAGGGGGAGAGAGGGAGATAGAGAAATGGAGAACATTAGAGAAAAGTGAGAAGAAGATATAGAAATGGAGAGCAAATCAAGAGAGAGAGAAAGAGAGAGAGAGAGGGGCAGATTGAGAAATGGAGTGCAAAGAGAGAAAAAGAAAGAGAGAGAGAGAGAGAGAGGATGATATATAAATGGAGAGCAAATCGAGAGAGAGAGGTGGGGAGAGACAGAGGAATGGCGAGCAAAGAGAGAGAGGGAAGATATAGAAATGGACAGTAAAGAGAGAGAAAAAGAGAGAGAGAGAAAGAGAGAGAGAGAAAGAGAGAGAGAGAAAGAGAGAGAGAGAAAGAGATAGAGGAATATATATAAATGGAGAGCAAATCGAGAGAGAGAGAGAGAGAGAGGGGGAGAGACAGAGGAATGGCGAGCAAAGAGAGAGAGAAAGAGTGATAGAGAGAGGGAAGATATAGAAATGGACAGTAAAGAGAGAGAAAGAGAGAGAGAAAGAGAGAGAGAGGAAGATATATAAATGGAAGCAAATCGAGAGAGAGAGAGAGAGAGAGAGAGACAAGACAGAAATGGCGAGCAAAGAAAGAGAGAAACAGAGATAGAGAGAGGAAGATATAAAAATGGACAGTAAAGAGAGAGAAAGAGAGAGAGAAAGAGAGAGAGAAAGAGAGAGAGAGGAAGATATATAAATGGAAGCAAATCGAGAGAGAGAGAGAGAGAGAGGGAAGAGACAGAGAAATGGCGAGCAAAGAGAGAGAGAAACAGAGATAGAGAGAGGGAAGATATAGAAATGGACAGTAAAGAGAGAGAAAGAGTGAGAGAGAGAGGAAGGTATATAAATGGAGAGCAAATCGAGAGAGAGAGGGGGAGAGACAGAGGAATGACGAGCAAAGAGAGACAGAAAGAGAGATAGAGAGAGGGAAGATATAGAAATGGACAGTAAAGAAAGAGAAAGAAAGAGAGAGAGAGAGAGAGAGAGAGAGATGTATATCTAATACTTTCTATTGACTCCATATTAGTTTCAGAAACTTATTAAATTCTCGCTTGCAATCCGAAAATAGGAAGACACTTGAATAAACACGGAGTCAGAAGGTATTTATATTTAATATTTCCCGCGGTTAATCGGCAGGATTTGGTCAATCATGCAGTGATTTACAATCAATTACAACGGATAATCAAACGTTCACTATTTTTTAATCCTCATAGAAAGAGAGCAAAGACATTTCAGTTGTCGAGATGATACGTTTGGTTTCAGAGCCCACAAAATAATTAAATGAAAATAACCCGAACATAGGCCTCTTCCAGTCAAAAGAAACCCTTTCTTCTTAACGTCAGAAACATTCCTCAAATCTCTCCTACCAACAGGCTTTTAGAATTAAAGGATTTACTTCTAAATCACCCCCAAGAGATGAAGGGGAGAGACCTTGATGAGTATTTTTCGTCTCTGCTAAAAATAAAAGATATGTTTAACTCTTTGCCGTTTATTTTTCTTTTGTTGTTTTAAAAACTTTTTCTTTCATTCGCCTTCTTTTTATATTCTATTTGAATAGTCTAAGTAGAAGCTCGAAAAACTTTCTCGTCATCTTGTGAAGCTCGTCCAATTATAGCATCAGTCTTAGTCCCGGCGTTTGCCGTTGCAGTAATAACAAGCTTGATAAATTGACTTTGTTTCGAAAGGCCACTAACCAGATTTAGATTTGCAACAGCTTCCTTGTTGTTGTTCTTCTTCTTCTTTGTATCATGTGCCTTCAGGACGTCGGCGATCATGGCTCTCCACAATTTCCCGTCCTTTGTAAATAATAATAATGTTTGTCATTTTGATGTCATATCTAATCCATGTCCCGGCAAATATTTACACAAGCTCCTAAAGTAGGCCATGCATTATTTTCCTCTGTCAGTCTTGTCTTCAATATGACCTGGCAGTGTCAGATTTTCTAATATGTCTTTCCTCATTATGTGCCTTGGAAATATTAATTGTCTCTTTCTGGTGCAAATGTATAAACATCTTTTTTGTTTACATTTTCTTTAAAACTTCGTCATCACTACAATCCTAACCCGTTCTGGGTATGACGATAAACTACATCCGCGTCCTGGGTAAGACGATAAACTACTTCCAACAGCAAGGCCTCTGATCAGGAGGTTTTGAGGAGCGTGGAATCACCTCTTAATTGCTGGTGTTCCCAGGGCCGCCCTGACCCGAGATGGTAGCACCTGTTAGGGTCCCAGCTATGGGTAAATAGTTAACCCCGAAACTGGTGTAAAAAAAAAAAAAAACACTATGAAAGTGTAAAAATAGGTTTTAATACCAGAAATACTTTGTAAAAAATTATTTTCATCAATAAATTTTTGAAGAAAAAAAAAAAACTATTACCAGCGATATATTTTTGGAAAAAAAATATTACCAGCAATACATTTTTGAAAAAAATATTACCAGCAACACATTTTTGAAAAAAAAAAATTATTACCAGAAATAGATTTTTGACAAAACAAAATATTACCAGCAATAAAAAATTGTCGTCATTAAATAACCCATTCGGATTGATATGCCGTAAAACATGTTACAATTTTTGGATACATTATGTACTAGTGAGCCAGTCCAAATGACTTGACTCATTTTATAGTCCACCAATAGAAGGTTAACCAATCAGAAGATATAGAATATTCAATCCGTCGTGTATAAAGGCGGCCATTTTGTTTACTCTACCCGAATGTCCAGTTCCAGCTTGTCAGGCGAAGAGGAACAGAAGGAATAACTACGCTCTGCTACTTTTACCGGGATATCCACTGCTAACCTGAACAACGCTTCCCTACTGTCTTCGAAATATTCACTGCTAACCTATGGATTCTATACTTAAAGACGACCGTCATCATGAATAACAAAACAAAACAAAACAAACCAAACCAAACAATCTTTAGTCTTGAACAGGTTAGGATTAAACGTTAACTTCCCTTCTATCCCCACAAATTGCTTCTTAACGTAACCCTTGGTATAGGAGGAATCTTACTGTCTAAAAAAAAAAAAATCTGTCCATGGTATTCTCAGCATCATTCTGTAGAACCATATTTCTGTGATGAGAATGACAAGCATTCACTTCCATATAAGAGGGTCGATATTACCTAATAGTTCAGTAATCTTTGATTCTAATGATTTTTTTCTTAATACTTTGTTTAGTAGATCCGCGTCCTGGGTAAGACAATAAACTACATCCGCATCCTGGGTATGACGATAAACTACATCCGCATCCTGGGTATGACGATAAACTACATTCGCGTCCTGGGTAAGACGATAAACTACATCCAACAGCAAGGCCCCTGATCAGGTGGTTTTGAGGAGCGTGGAACCACATGTTAATTGCTGGTGTTCCCAGGTCCACCATGACCCGGGGTGGTAGCACCTGTTAGGGTCCCAGCTATGGGTAAATAGTTAACCCCCAAACTGGGGTCAGAGCACTATGAAAATGTAAAAATATGTTTTAGTACCAGAATACTTTGTAAAAATTACCAGCAATACATTTTTGAAGAAAAATTATTACCAGCAATACATTATTAACAGCAATACAATTTTGAAAAAAAAAATTACCATCAATACATTTTTTGAAAAAAAAATTACCAGCAATAAAACTTTAGTCGGCATTAAATAACTCATTGAGGTTAATATGATGTAAAACAAACCAAACCAAACCAAACCAATTACCCACTAAACTGGGGTCAAAACACCTATGAAAATGTAAAAATAGCTTTTAATACTAGCAATAACTTTTTGAAGGAAAATTTTTTACCAACAATAAATTTTTTGAAGGAAAAATTATTACCAACAATACATTTTTTAAACGAAAAATTATTACCAGCAATACATTTTTGAGGAAAAAATATTACCAGCATCACATTTTTGGAAAAAAAATATTACCAGCAATAAAAATATTGTCAACATTAAATAACCCACTGAGGTTGATATGCTGTAAAACAAAACAAACCAAACAAAATCAATCTTTGCTTAGATTTTGGAAAGCATCTCTCGCTAACCTAATGCACCTTCGAATTTCGATATTGCATTTATCGTTCGATGTTAACACTTTCAAGATATCTACGTTTTTTGTACTTGCTTGATTTTGGTATCTCTAAATTGTAACTCTCATATTGCGTTGTTCCTTTTACTGACGACTATACATATTGTTTTATTACAATTGTTGTTTTGTCCTTTCTTATCGCTTTCCTTTTCTAGCTCATGTAGTTTCCTTTCTGTGTCCGCTATAAATACTGTGTCGTCTGCATATCTAATGTTGTTAAGATTGTGGCCATCAATAATGAATCCTGGTAGGATTTCTAATTCTCTCAGAATCACCCCACTGTATAGGTTGAATAAATTTAAATATCTGAAAAGTGTTTTAACAGTGAACGGAAAGTTTGGCACTAACTTCCGAAGGCACATTGTGATAGCCAAAGATGCATTCCAAAAGCTAAACAGAGTATTAAGAAATAGAAAAAAAAAACTTCGCTGGAAGCAAGGAAAAGAGTACTAAACTGTTACGTGATATATGTTCCCCTGTCTGGCTGTGAGTGCTGGACAATCTCGTCACCGATGAAGAAGAGACTTGAAGCAACAGAAATGTGTTACTCCAGAAGGATGTTAAGGTTACCACGGGCCGAGCATGTGAGCAACGTATTGGAGAGAATGGAAACAAAGAGGAAACTTATACTTAAAATCAGGAAGAGGCAGTTGAAATTTATAGGGCATATAATGAGGAAAGAGGGCTTGAAAAATTTGATACTCACAGGACAGACTGAAGGCAAGAGGGACAGGAGGCACGGAATATACTTAGTGAGTTTGAGTAGATGGAACGAGATTTAGGAGAAATAGTAAAAAGACAACATTTATTAGAGCTACAAAGGACAGGATGTTGTGGAGAGCCATGATCGCCCACGTCTTGACAGGAAACGGTAGATAAAGAAGAAATTACGCATACTTCTCAAATATTAATACTTAATCTATTCATTTCCGACTGTATATCTTTTAACTTCGTACATTCGCAAAAAATCGAAACCTCGTTTCAGATCTAAAATATGCTAAATTCTTTTACTAATGTAAGTCTTTTCATGATTATAAGCTTCACGATAAAGAATATAAAAAACAGTATATATATATATATATATATATATATATATATATATATATATATATATATATATATAAAATGATAATAAGAAAATTGTAGTTATTGCTGACGCGTTTCATCCAATGCGAACTTTCTCAAAGCAAAAAACGAATTTAATCAAAGAAAGTAACTAATAATAACAAAAACAGAATGTCCTGAGCAACTGGAGGAATGTGAGAACGATATTTTCATATTGTTAACTGAAAATAACATCAGTTATTGTCACGTGTGGAGAATATTGTCATTATATATATATATATATATATATATATATATATATATATATATATATATATATATATATTAAAAAGAAGAGAGGTTTCAAGAACGTTTTTTGGGCGATTAATGTATTTATTTAGAAAAAATAAAATTATGCAAAACAAAGCATAATATTTTTTCTAAATAAATCCACATTACAACCAAAAACGTTTGCGGCACCTCTTGGAGTTAATATACATACTTTTCTCGTTGGAACCACTACAACATATTTCTTTATATATATACATATATATATATATAAATGACAATAGGAAAACTGTAGTTATTGCTGACGCGTTTCGTCCAATGTGGACTTTCTCAAAGCAAAAAAACGAAATGAATTTAATCAAAGAAAGTAACTAATAATAACAAAAAACAGAATGTCCTTAGCAACTGGAGGAATATAGAGAACACTATTTTCATAGTGTTAACTGTGCTGAATATTGTCTTTATAACTGTGTTAACAATATGAAAATAGCGTGTATCTGTATTTATATATATATGTGTACACGTATATGTATGTATGCGCGAGTAGATATAGATATGTTGTTGTGTATGTGTGTATCTACGTATGTGTTTTTGGGTATATAAATTGTAGGTCCT